GGGGGGGGGGGGGTGAGGCAGTGGGGCGGTGGGCACTGGGGCAGTTGGAGACTCCTGTTCTTTCTAAAGTGGGTGCATATTGGCCTCAGCCGAGAGTCACCGTGTGGCAATACAGGTCTGGGGTTGTTCTTCCAGAGAAGCTAGAAATCCACCTTTTCATGTAAAGGCTTTGAATTTCCCAACATTGGCAACTTCTCAAAAGTTTTCAAAAGCGCTGGATGTACAAAAACACGTCTGTGGCTGTTTCTGGTTCCATGTGATTGAGTCCACACGTGGGCTTCTAGAGCGAGGCTCAGCTCCGGCTGGCAGCAACTCTGGGGCCTGGGCAGGAAGCGCTGCCCGCCTCCGGCTTTCACCCTGACCTTATTCCAGGCCGAGGTCACTGGGTTCACTGGGGAGCCAGTGAGGTGATTCCCCGAGCAGCTGTGTTGCAGCAACTGCCCGGGGCGGGCTTTGTTGTCACCACGTGAACCCAAGGTCTGGAGGCAGGTGGGGCATGGTTTCTCGTTCTCTGGATCTTCTGTCTCTGCGCATCGCCCCACCCCCCGCCACCGGACCCAAGAAGTCTCAAGCCTGTGTCCCAAAGGGACACCCGTCCCAGATCAGCCTGGCACATCTCAGGCACTGGGGGCTGACCCCCCCAGAGGCTCCCCCAACACTGGGCTAGCCCAGGCTCCTGCGGGCTGCTCTAGGGGTCTGAGGGCAGCAGGACCCCAGGCCATCCTCCCTGACCGACGCAGCCCAGGGACAGGTATGGGCAGCCAGGGCCACCTGCGTCCCCACCCCCGGCAGCCTCTGGCACGGCGTCCCGCCTTCTCTAGAAAGCCGGGCGGCCCTCGGCCGTGGGCCTCCCTGAGGGCGGTACTGTGTGCCGGGGGACAGAGCAGGGCTGTCCCTGAAGGAGGCCGGCTCCACACTTCACAGTGACAGGGCCTGCCAGACACTCCCCCGCTGATCAGCCCGCCCTGCCGGCCGCCTTCACCTGCTGCAGGAAGTCTCGGATGCCACCCACACGGGCGGGCATGCATCCTGGCTGGCACACAGGCCAGCTTGTGGCCACGGGGGCCAGGACATTGGTTGCACACCCACGACCGCCAAGCACCGTGCCAGGCAGCGGGGGTTCGGCCATGGGGAGGACGAAGCCCCTGCTCCGAGGAGCTGCTGCTTTTGCAAGAGGACGTTAAACAGGGAGACACGTGAGGAAGCAAGATGACCTTAGGCTCGTTCATGCAGCGAAAGAGACAAAACAGAATGAGTGGTGAGGGGCTCAGGGAAGGGTCTCTGTGAAGAGGAGAAGGCAGTCGTGGGAAGATCGAGGGGAAGGGCGTTCAGGCACAGGGAGCAGCACGTGCAAAGGCCCTGGGGTGGGAACAAGCTTGGTGTGTTGGCGGAGCTGCCGGGAGGTCTTGGTGGCTGGGGAGGGGGTAGGATAGGAGGTGGGATAGGGAGATGGGGGACCAGATTGTGTAGGGCCTCGTAGGCCATGGTACTGTGGGGATTTTGTCTTGGGTGCAGAAAAAGCCTTTGCTGGAGGAATTTTAAGAGAGAGAGTGTGTGTGTGTGTGTGTGTGTGTGTGTGTGTGTGTGTGTGTGTGTGTGTGTGTGTGTGTGTGTGTGTGTGTGTGTGTGTGTGTGTGTGTGTGTGTGTGTGTGTGTGTGTGTGTGTGTGTGTGTGTGTGTGTGTGTGTGTGTGTGTGTGTGTGTGTGTGTGTGTGTGTGAAGGCGACTGGGGAGAGGTCAGGCAATCTGATTTCTATTTTAGAAAGATCTCTTCTCTCTCCGCCTCTCCGGCCGTTGTTGAGGAGAAAGGGCGGCAGGGAGTTGTGGGCAGATGCAAGAGGCCAAGGTGCTTTTCCCGGCCAGCGATGGTGGCAGCCTGGCAGTGCGGGTGACCATGAAGGGGGGCATTGGGACTTTGTTTCAGAGGCAAACAGTGGGACCTGCTGATGAACCCGAGTGTGGGGTTGAAAGCAGAACGTCTGCCTCTTCCTGGGACCCTGCCAGCCACCCACGCTGGGACCGGGACTCCCCATGGTGGGGCTGGGGTTCACTGGACGAGAGTGTAGCGTGAGACGTGGGGTCTGGCTCTGGAAGGACATTCCAGGGCTGGGGCACCAGCCCAGGGCGGATAGCTGCGTGGCAGTGTCAGGGGCCCAAACAGCCTTGGCCGGCGCCAGATCTGAGCTGGGCTGGGCCATACTTGGGTGGCTGGACACCACACAGGGCCAGGCAGGGCCCGCTGGGATGGGTCATAGGCCCTGTCCTGGGAGAAGGTGAGCCACCACCTGTGCTTTCTGAGCCTGGCATTTGGCCTGTTGGCATGCCGGAGGGCCGCGCCGTTTCCTGGAATCGCTCCGCACAGGAGACGGGGCACCTGGCATCAGGCACCAAGGCCTGCCTTGCAGCTAGCACCCGTAGGCACATGCATGAACTTGACACCTAGCACGACCGACCTCTCTGGTCTCTCAGGAGCCTCCCCTGCCACCTGGCTCCTGCGTGGAGCTGCTCCGCCCGCCCACCCCTTGGGCTCCCTGGGCCCAGCCGGAGGAACAGGTTGTCTCTCCAAGCTCTCGGCCGCCGGCCCATCCTGGCCTGGCCCCAGATTTCCCTTCCAGCACCAGAGGCCCCCCCCCGCCCCTGCCCCCTCCCACGGCAGCCGGAGCTGAGCTGGAGAGAGCAGCCCAGACACGCGCGCGTTCGGGTGGCTGGACGAGCGAGGTCCAGGGCGTGCGCAGAATTTCTGGGCCCAGTGCAGCCCCTGGGGGGGGTGGGGGTGGGGGCGCCTCCACTGGGGGTTGGTTGAGCATGAGAATCCCTACCGCAGGTTACTCCCCGCATCTGTGGCCCCTCCTGCGGGCTCCCCACGTCAGCAGGCGCACAGGTCCGGGGGGAGCTCAGTCTCCCAGGAGAGAAGCGGAGGGTGTGCAGCACGCACGCCTCCACCCCACCTGCTGTACCCACAGCAGGCGGCTCTCATGCTGTCAGTGCTCTCCTGCTGGCCTTGCTGGGTCTTCAGAGCCCCCCTCTGTCATCTGGAGGTGGCCCGAGGGATGACACCTGCCTGCCATTCCCATCCCAGGCCCGGCATTCCCAAGTTGTAACCAGCTGGCTACTCCCCTGCCCCCCGTACCCCGCCCTCACCACCATCGGTCCTCCAGCCTGACACCAATTCTCAAGGAAGAGGTTTGGCGCTTAGGACCGATTTCAGCAGAGTGGGTGGCCAGCAGCAGAACGCCGTGAAGACGGCCTGGCCTTTGGCCGTGTCTGCGGGCTGTGTCCCCAGGCCCGAGAATCCAGGGCCAATCGTTGCTCCCCTTCCTGTGGTCAGTGTGTGTGGCAAAGGTGAAGGTTACAGCCTGCAGCCCACCTACGTGGGCTCAGAGCTTCCCTTGCTGGCTGTGGGCCTTTGACCAGGTGACTTCACCTCTCTGAGTCTCCGTGTTCCCATCTGCAAATTGGGGATAATCCTCGTCAGTTCCCTGAAGGGTGTTGCGAGGATAACCGAGTCAGTCCAAGCAGAGCACTTAGTTGGAGCCCCCGTGGGAGGGCTCCCTCCGCCGTCGTGTTATCTGCAGCTGCAGCGTCCGGGAGGTTCAGTGGTCAAATCCTGACTTGGCCAAATATTTGCTGGTGACCTTAGATAAGTCCGTCGATGTGTCCGTACTCCGGTCCCTCTCAGCACACTGGGCCCGGCCGCTCTCTTTCTCCCGAGCCTGCAAGGAGGCTTGTTGAGTTCACGCTTTCGAAACGCCCAGCCCAGCCCCTGGACGTGGGACACGCCCGGCGCACAGGCTGACATGTGCTCGCCGTCATCCCGGGCATCCGGGCCATAGCCGTGCTGGCGGGAGCACACGTACACGGATCATGGCAAACCGTTCTGACAGCCTTCGTCATCTGAAGAGGTCAGCGAGCCTCTTCTGGAAAGGGCCAGATAGTAAATATTTTAGGCTTTGTGGGCCAGACAGACGGTCTCTGTCGCAACTCCTCAGCTCTGCTGCAGATGATAAATAAACGGGTGGACGTGACCACGTTCCAGCGCAAGTGTACACACAGAATCGGGCAGTGGGCAGGCCCCGTGCCACCGTCTGCCACCCCTTGGTTTGGAGGTTTGTCCAGGCCCCTTGCTGACCTGGTGCCGGGGAAGTGCCTGTGGGATTCCAGCACTGGAATCAGGGGCCGCCGAGAAGCCCAGCCCAAGCCCGAGGCACGTCCGTGCTTGACAGGACATCACAGGAATCAGCGTGGTGCCCGGTCTGCAGACTTGGGGGGCTCCATCACTGTTGGCCAGGACCTTCTGCTGGCCGAGGCCGGCGCTGCAAGTCACAGGGGTCTTGTTTGAGCAGGGCAGCCAGGGCTGGGGGCCTGAGGGCTGGCCGAGTGTGGCTGACTCCCTGCCTTGCCCCTCAGCAGAGAAGCCCGTGTTCTTCCCGGCCTTTGCGGCTGAGGGCCAGAAGCTGCCCACGGATCCCTCGTGTTGGACGTCAGGCCTGCCCTTCCCTGTGCCCCCTCGCGAGGTGATCAAGGCCTCTCCGCACGCCCCTGACCCCTTGGCCTTCTCCTACGCCCCGCCTGGTGAGTAGTTCACCCGAGCCTGGCCTCCTTGCCGAGTCAGCCAGCATGCAGTCATTGGGCGCCAACTGTGTGCACTGACTCGGAACTGCACGCAGAAGGATCTTAGGGTCCTGGCGGGAGGGATGGTCTGGTCAGTGTAGGGGAAGGGGGCTCCACTGAGATGTGAGAAATCTACAGGATTGCGGTTGAAGCATCTGGTGCTGGGGATACCTAGGAGGTGCTTGAGCCGGCGAGGGGCAGGCTGAGGGTGGGAGCTCTGTCTTCCACCATGGACTTCGAGGTAGACAACGGGCAGGTGGAGAGAAAAGTGTGAGGAGGGAGGGGCCTGCTTTGATTTACAAACACAGTCAGGCTGGATTCGAGATCCTTCCTGGGCTCTCCAGCCCTGCCGGGCTCCACCAGCAATCAAAGGGGCATAGCCAGGGGCCAGTAAGGGCTGTGATGTCAGCAAAGGCCGTCCTAAGCAGAGCTGACCCTGCAGGATGAGTGGCCAAAAGGGCCAGAAGAACAGGGAAAGACACGCCAGGCAGGGGGAACAGCATGTGCAAAGGTCCGGAGGCAGGAAAGGGCAGGCGAAGCTTGAGACACTGAGTCAGGCTGCCATGGCAGAAGCTTGGTGCCCAGGGAGCCTGGGGAGACCATAAGCGCCAGGTCAGGTGAGCCTGAAAGCTGTGTCGGAGGCTAAGGTCTTACCCTGGGGGAGCAGTGGGGAGCCATAGGAGGTTCATAGCAGGGGAGGATGTGAACTAGTAGACTTTTCAGAAAGATCCCTTTGGTTCCTGTGAGAGGAGTGGACTGTTGGAGAGTAAGAGCGGAACGGGGAGACCAGTTAAGGAGTCTGGGGGAGAGTTGAGGGGCTTGGGCCAGGGCCTGGGAGGGGGAGGCGTGGAGGGAGACTTCCCTGGGGTAGTGATGTCTGAACCAAGGATGCAGACGGCTGGCTCATCAGGCAGAGACCGGAGGAGCAGTGGGGGCACGTACGGATGGGCACCCACCTGGGCAGGACAGGGACGAGGTGGGGAGTGGCCTGGGGTCTCTGCCTCTGACCGCTCCTGGGGCCCTGTGATGGACAGATACGTGCCCTGCAGGTCACCCGCTGCCCCTGGGCCTCCATGACAGCGCCCGGCCCGTCCTACCACGCCCACCCACCATCTCCAACCCGCCGCCCCTCATCTCCACCAAGCACCCCAGCGTCCTTGAGAGGCAAATGGGTGCCATCTCCCAGGTGAGGTGGGAGGGGCAGCCCCCCCAGAAGCCTGTGCAACCTGGTGCCCAGAGAACGCCCCTTCCTCTTTCAGGGGTTTGGTCTTTCCATCTGTAAAGTCGGGGTGGGGGCGATCCCTGGGACGGACGGTGACTGGGTGGGGGTCGGGCACCCAGGGGGCTGGGTCCAAGCTGGCTGTGCCTGACCCAGGCGTCAGGACCTTGGGAGGTCACTCCATGGGGCATTCAAGAGCATGGGCTCTGCGATCAGACTGTGTGGCCTTCGGCAAGTTACTTAACCTCGCTGTGCCTCAGTTTCCCTTCTGTGAAACAGAAAATCGCAGGCACTAGACACACAGCCCTGGCACGTGGTGAGCCTCGGTCCACCTGCCCCTTCACCTCTCTGACCTGCCCCCGTGTGGCGCAGGGCGGGGGCAAGGCATGTGCTTTGCTCAGACGCTTGTGGGCACCATTTCCTTTAGACCAGGTCATGATGACCGCCACACGGCTGAGGGCACTGAGGCCCAGGAGAGGCAGTGACTCGTTCACAGTTGCTCAGAGGGGCAGCAGGGCCGGAACTCAGGCCCCAGGCCTTGGACCCGTGTGTGATCCTGAGGTTCCCCTCCTCTTGGGCCCTCATAAAAGCGCGTTGAGGCCCTGGTTGAGGCCTCTGTGACCCCACGGCCTCTGCTCCCACAGGGAATGTCTGTGCAGCTGCACGTCCCGTACTCAGAGCACGCCAAGGCCCCCGTGGGCCCCATCACCATGGGGCTGCCCCTCACCATGGACCCCAAGAAGCTGGGTAAGGATCTAGGGCCCCCCAACCTCCATGGCCCAGGCTTGGCTCCCACTGTTTGCGTTGGGGGTTTGAGGGAGGGCAGTTCACCCTAAGGGACTCTGGCCCGCGCGTGGCGGGGAGGTCCCTCAGCCCCTGGACAGGGCAGGGAGGCGGCCGTCCTTCTGAATCCCTGCCCAGAGGCTCGGCTCACTGCTCTCGCCCCTCTCCAGCGCCCTTCAGCGGAGTGAAGCAGGAACAGCTGTCCCCACGGGGCCAGGCTGGGCCGCCGGAGAGCCTGGGGGTGCCTGCAGCTCAGGAGACGTCCGTGCTGAGAGGTAAGGGCGTGCAAGCTAGGCTCACCCCCGGCGGCTGCCCCTCCACCCCTGGGAGGGTCGAGGCAGGACTGGGACCCTTTATCCAAAACCTGCTGAGAAGCTTCAGCTCCCAGAGGGTCCAGCAGCCTCTCTTCACAGTTGTTTACTTTGCCATTTAGGGGCAGGGGGACCCTCTGCGTTGAGACACTGGAGGTGGGGGGGACTTGCAGGTCTCGGTGGCTCTGGGACTGGGGCCTGGGGAGGGGCTGCAGACACCCCTTCAGCCCGTGTCTCATGTCTTCCAGGGACGTCTCTGGGCTCGGTTCCAGGAGGAAGCATCACCAAGGGCATCCCCAGCACGCGGGTGCCTTCCGAGAGCCCCATCACGTACCGCGGCTCCATCACGCATGTAGGTGTCCTGGGGCCATGGCATGAGGGACCAGGGTGGCACTAGCAGGCAGTGTCTCCAGACGTGGCCCTGCCTGTGGACAAAACAGTGGGCAACCCACCAAATTCCCCCCAGCATCTCTGCTCAGCATCTGCCTCAGTAGATGGGGTGGCTTCCTGTGGGTGCCCACTCACTCCGTGAGCCTGGGAGCCAGGCATTTTAGGTGCTGAGCAAAACACAAAACTGAAGGGCCCCAAGGAGCTGGGAGGGTAGCAGAAGGAAGCAGATGGGTAAAAACTGAGTAGGTGATTTCAGAGTAGCCAGTGCTTTGTGTTGAGTAAAACACTGCGATTGAGAATGGCTGGGGCTGCTGAGGCCGCAGAGACAGGTGAGCCGGGGAGACCTCTCAGAGGTGTGAGCCCTGCGGGAATCTCAGGGATCTGCATTCCGGGCCCAGGGAACAGCACGCGCAAAGGTGGAGAGGTGGAGGGTCCCTGGTGTGCGCCAGGTCCAGCAAGTGTCTGTGGTGCCTGGAACAGCGAGCAGGAGGCGTTCGGGTCAGCGAAGTTTTGGGGGCCGGTGAGGGAGTCTGCACATCCCCCGCCTTCAAGGGGGTGAGTGGACAGACGCTCCTGCAGCTCAGCTGAGCCCGCCCACACCACTGGGGCTCCCCCTGTGCTGCCGTAACCCTCGCTTTTGTGACTTCAGTCCAGGAAAACAGAGGTTTCCTCTGGTGCCAGCCTTGACCTCGTGGTGTTGACAGGCTGACGGCTGGAGTTGGCATCCTGGCCACATCCAGCTCCGCAGAAAGGAGTGTGGGATCGGCTGGTGACATCTGCCCCATCCAAGGGTTTGCAGAGGGACCCACTCTGCCCCTCCCGTGTCAGGACTGGGGGTTCAGAACTGAGCTCGGGGCTCCTAGTGTACACAGGGCCTGTTTAACCCTCTCCTTCCTCCCTGGCTGGTGGACAACAGAGGGCGGTCCCCCCACTTCCTGGGGTCCTTAGCTCCTAGGGCTTTCTTTTCCTTCCCTTCCACCTGCTCCAGACAAGATGGTTTACATTAGCACAGAATCCAGGTCAGCCCATTTTACAGATGAGAAGACCGAAGCCCAGAGATTAAACCCGAGGTCGTGTAGCCAGTAAGCAGTGGACCCAGCGTTTTGTGCCAGCTGTGCCAGAGGAAGGGGAGCCTGGACACACACACGCACGCACGCACGCTTGCACGTACGCACAACCCCTCCCCCCAACACACACACACGCACGTGAATGGTGGGACTTCAGGCCACAGGCTCCCATAGGAAGGTGTCTTTGTCTCCAGGGGAACTCAGATCACACCACAGAGGAGAGCCCCTGATGCTTCACGTTTCTCTAAAACCTGTCGGTTTTGAAATCATGAGCTTTAGAAGGCAGCTGCGCAGGTACCTGGGGCCACAGCCGGGCCGCAGACACTCAAGTCCCAGCCCCACCACATGCTGACTCAGGCAGGGGATCGACGCTCCCTGACTCAGTTTTCCCTTTGCTAGAAGTGTCTCTTGCTGAGTCATCCTCACAGAGGTGTTAGGGATTAAAGGCTCCTGGGCATCCATCGGCCTCCAGTTTCAGGTGGCCGTGACCCAAGCCATGTGGGTCACTCACAGCCTTGGGATTGTTTCTGGCAGCTGCCAGATGTGTGAGGGTCAGACTTCCCCACAGCCTCACTCCCAGGTGATGAAATCTGGTCATGGGACACACACAGGCTCACACACACACACAAACTCAGGAACACACGGGTACACACACATACACAAACTCATACACACACAGACTTACAGTGGGTGGGCTTCTATCAGCTGCCCCTGGAGGAGCCTTTCCTGATGGGACGTTGCCGGCTCCCCGGCCATGTGCTCTCCTGTTGAGAGAGGTGGCTTCCCGCCCCTGGATTATCTATCACCCAAACTAAAGCCCGTTCATTCTACACTGTTTGTGCACAAGCCTTTTAAAGTGTGGCCAAGGGATCCTATCTAGGGCGTCTGCTTTGAGACGTCTTGGGAGACCGGTCTGGATTCAGGGCGTCTTGCTTTTCCCCTGCTTGCAGACCAGGATCTGGGATGAAAGCCCGGGGTGCCAGTTGCTGCCCTTACCCCACAGAAGGATGTTTCTTGGCAGAGAAGCTCCCAGGGGGAGACTCAAAGTGCACCAGCCTAGGGCTCGGCACGCAGTTGGAGCTGCAATCTGTCAGTCAGCTCTTGGAATCGTAGAAAGAGAAGACAGACGTCTTGATTTGGGGACAGCTTGTCTGTGACGGGTGCCTTTGAGAGTCGTATACAGAGATTGTCTCCGTTTTGTAGATGTACAGGCTGAGGCTCAGAGAGGCAAAGTGACTTGACAGAGGTCACACAGCAACTTGTTGGTAAAGCTGCTGTTTGCCCTCCAGCAGTCAGACTCCAGATTCATATTCTGACCCCCGACGCGTGTCCGTGGAAGTCGCCCGAGGCAGGACACTACCCCACGTGGCTATCTTCTCTCTGCCTGAATACAACCCCCAACAGGGAGCTCACTCTCTCTAAGGCACTGGTTTCTTGATCAGGGGCAGTTTTGCCTCCCAGGGGACACGGGGCAATGTCTAGGGACATTTGTGATTGTCACATCTTGGGGGGAGCAGATTGGGGGTCACATGCACTAACGGCATCTAGTGGGTAGAGCCCGGGGGGAGGGCTGCTAAATGTCCTACGGTGCCCAGGTTGACCCCCACCTCAAAGAATCATCTGGCCCACAGGTCACAGTGCCGAGGTTGAGAAACCCTGGGTTAGAGCTAAGATTTCTGGGGTCCTGCCCTGATTTGAGTCCCCATTCTGGTTTTGGGAATGACATGTGGTCACAGGCACGTGGCTGACATCCCAGCATCCAGGCTCTGAGAAAGCAAAATTCATGTAGTACAGGTTGCAACACAGACTCCAGGGCCAGACTGCCTGGGTTCCAGTCCCGGCTCTGCCCCTCGTTAGCCAGGTGACCCTGGGCGAGGTCACCTTGCCTCTTGGTGCCTCAGTTTCCTCATCTGAAATAGGCACGATAGTACCTGACTTAGGGTGATTTCCAGGGTTAAATGAGTCGATGTATAGAAAGTGATCAGCACTTATCATTAATATTACTGATGCTTTGTTCTGCGTGGTGCTGTTCCGGTGGGCTCTGCCCTTTGGAAGCAGTGCATGCGTGAACACATGTGCACTGGCGGACACACATGCGCCTGTGTGTGCATTTGGAAGGTGCACATGTATGCGTGCTGGGTTGTGTCTGGCGAGCGTGGGGGTCCCCGGCCGGAGCCCGCGGGCACTCACCCCATCCGCACCCCCAGGGCACTCCAGCCGACGTCCTGTACAAGGGCACCATCACCAGGATCATCGGTGAGGACAGCCCAAGCCGCCTGGACCGCAGCCGGGAGGACGGCCTGCCCAAGGGCCACGTCATCTACGAGGGCAAGAAGGGCCACGTGCTGTCCTACGAGGGTGAGTCCTGTCATCCGTCAACGGCTGTCAGGAGCTGGTGGGCGGGCAGCGGCTGGCCCGGCCCTCCCATCCTTGGGCATCTTTTTTTTTTTTCCGGTACGCGGGCCTCTCACTGCTGTGGCTTCTCCCGTTGCGGAGCACAGGCTCCGGACGCGCA